AGAAAAGGTTGTTTAAGATAATCCATTTTATATTACATTGCAGATTGCTAGAAGACCAGTAGCTTTCCATTTCTGTGGTTCAGCTAAAGATAGGTAAATTCTTTAAATATGGATTAGTATCAATGTACATTAATATTAAAAATGTTGATTTCTGGGACCTGTGACTATACCTTTGCTAATGAGTGATAGAGAAACCTTAGAAATCTGAGTTTGTTGCTGAAAGGAATTTATTTTATTTTATTTTATTTTATTTTATTTTATTTTATTTTATTTTATTTTATTTTATTTTATTTTATTTTATTTTATTTTATTTTATTTTATTTTATTTTATTTTATTTTATTTTATTTTATTTTGTTGTACTTTGCTGAAAATCTTAGAGGACTCTGGGGGATGGTGCAGGGAGGATCTGTAAGCCTGCAGGACAATGTGATGCTTATCTGAAGAACTCCCCCTTCTCATGAAGCTCACCTCTTCCCCAGCCTCACTTGGCATCTGGACAGCAGCCACCCACATGTGGCACATTAAAGGATTAAGCCTTTAATGACAACTTTTAAATGCTGTTATTAAATGGGGACTTCCATCCTGTAGAACACTTGAAAAACAACATTTGTAGAACTCCTTCCTGAGCAGTATATCCCCTTTTCCATTATCTCATCTATTTGTATGCTAATAACAATTCTTTTCCTTTCTACTCTGTCTCTGCTTGAGCAGTTCAATGCTGAATTCATGATTCTGTGTTTTGTGCTGTGAAGATTTTACTTTTATTTTAAAAAATGGTATCTCAATAATTAATTACAGATAAATTATTGAGAAAGCAGCAGATGCAAAGGAAGAGTAGTCTGTATCTAACACAGACTTTAAAAACAGATATCTTTGAAATATCCCATATTTTATATATATATATATGTAAATATATATACACACACACATATATGTATATAATTTTCATATTCAGTTATCAGAACACTTTCCTAGAATTTGATGTTTCATGTGATACCACAGATTGCTGACAAAAATTTAGTATTTTCTCTCAAATTATGTCCATAATGAATATCTGAGAAAAATGTCTCCCAAGAGAAAAATATACCAGTGTATCTAGATTATGCTTCTGTGAAGAAATTCCTGCATATTTAGGAAGAACAGCTCTGCTATCAGAGAAACTAAGTGAAGACTAGACATATAATTTTGAAATTTTCTGCTCATTTAAAATGTTTATGTAATCTCAACGGTTAGGTATATTAGTAACAGCTCTGGACTTACTGAAACTTCACTACCTGCTGAAAGAATTCTTAACCAAAGTTTTCAGTATCTTTTTTTGAAGTAGACAGGACTCCCGCTGTTCTTGTGCATCTCTAAATCTCAGTAAGTGTTCGGATACCCTGCCTTAGCCTGAGATAATTAAGTTGTATTACATCCCCTGTAAGTCACTGGTTTAAGGAGTGGTTCAGGCTGGAACAGACTCCTGGAGATCTTAGACAACTGGAGATTGTCCAGCCAAATCTCCATCCCAGAACAAGGACAACTCCAAAGGCGGGTCAGGTTGCTCAGGGCTTTGGAGAGTCCACAAACTCACCGGCCCTGTGCTTCAGCTGTTATTGTTGTCCACAGAGAAAATTTATTTCTTTGTGTCCTTGTGGTCTTTGTCCCTCATCCTATCCTTGTGATTCTACAAGAGGAGCCTGGCTCGTTTTTTATAAAATCCTTCCAGGTAGTAGAAGACAGCAACAAGTTCCTCCTGAAGTTTCTCACTGCCAGACTGAGCATCCTGTGCTTTCCCCCTCTGGTCACACATCCTGTGCTCCAGCCCCAGCCTGATGTCCTTCAGCTGGGCCCTCCCCAGGATGTCAGCAAACGTGGCACTTCTTGTGTGTGCCACACACACAGCAGTGAGTGGAGACTTTTACTGCAGCTCAAGTGACACACCAGGTGTGTCTGAGCTCTGAGCAGTGTTGACCACATCCAGACACCTATATACTTCATTTCCTGATCTCCAAATATCGTTGGTAATATCTGTTGTCTGCTCCTTCACATCTCTGCAGAGAACTGGCTTTGAAGGACTAAGGATGGCAGGGAGAGTCTTCCTCTTTAATGTGGTAGTAACATATTTAAAAGTTTAGACTATGGAAGTAATTTCAGGGCCTAGTTCATCATAGTTTCTCTCCCACAGAAAACCCATCTTCAGAGAGCTGCTCCAAGGCACAGGGATGCCAAAAAGAATATTTCCATTGACGTTTGTTCTCCTTGCTTTCTATTCTAAAGAAAATCCAATTTTCAACTAAGCTTTCAACTACATTTGTCATAAAACATGGTCCAATTTCACTTCTCAGTTACTTCAAGGAGAGATGATGCCAAGGCTGAGCTTCTGTTTTTGTGAAGAACAACATAAAGACCAGGCTCCTTGTCAGCAATACAAAAAGCTCTCTATGGGGAAATGAGCTGTCCTTGGAATGGCACAACTGATGTTTTAGCCTCAGGATCCTTTTCTAAAGGTCACAGCACAATTTTAAGCCCAGAATATTGCAATGCATTTAAATATCTGAGATCAAGGTTAAACAAGATCTACTAACGTAAAACAGAAATGAAGAAATCTCATCTACCTTCTTCATGACGGAATTGTCTCATCCCAGGAGTAAACAATGGCAAGCAGTGGGAAAATAAAACTGGCCTGTCCATGCCACAATCTTGGCTCTCAGACCTTCTTCCTCACTGCACAGAGGGGTGATGATAACCTCACCAGTGAGGTGACTGGCTTAGTGAATAAGAGAAGAGGGGTGGATGTCAGTTACCTTAATTTTAGGGAGTGACTTTCAACACTGTTTTTCATTAGGTCCTCAGAAACAAGCTGATAAAGTAGGAAAAAAAATAAATGGAAATGACATGGGGTGAAACTGTCTTTGCTTAGAGAGAAACCAAGGCAAGGCTTCACTGTAGCTGAGAGTTTGTGTTTATAGCAATGATGATGGGCTTATCATCATTTGATTGTTAATTATTCTACAGAAAAATGTATGCTTTTATGCAAACATTTTCATCCTAGGAAAGGCATCTTTGTTAAAGTGTTTGAACCTTCAGAACATTCCAGTCAATTTATCTGTAAGATGGTAAACCCTGCAAAGCACTCTTGTCCTTATTAAATGATCAATGAAATTGGAACTATCTCAGTATGCAAGTATTGACTTTTATTCCTAACAATGATTTAAGCTGTAAAGTTGTATTGTTATGTATTAAGTTAGAGATCAAAACATCTATCAAAGAGTTCACTTAGCTCTTTAAGATCACAACATACAGTATTTAGAAGATAATATAAGGAAAGTGATAGAAAATACAGTTTTACAATGTAATTAGTGATGGAAGCTTAATAGGGGTTCAGTGTGCTAAATCTTGCCAAAGAGAAAATGGCTTGGACTTTGCCTTGGAAAAGAATAGCATGAAAGACAAAGTTTTTTTGCACTTTTGGAAAATAGAAGATGAAAAACTGAGTTCCATTAGAAGTTTGAATTGGTATTAAATTCAAAATCTGGGTGTGAATCCTAATCTGATATCTTCAGCATAAAACAGTCCTTCCTTGTGCTGTACAGGGACAGGGATAAGATATTTCAAATAATCCCCAGACTGTGCACTTGAATTAAGGAGCATAAGGGAGGGGACACCACTGTGCAAGCAGCCATATCGTGGCATGAAGATAGATGGTGTCTGGGACGAGACAGGGCTAAAAGAAGAGAAGCAGCATTATGTTTTTTCCATTACAGTGAGTCACTTAAAGCAGGAATACACACGTAAACTGAAGATTTTTTTGTTTTCAACTGCCACAAAGAATTCATATCAGCAGCCACGCAATTAAAGCAACCTGGTTCCTCTCATGCACAGAGAGCAATTGTTCCTTTGCTTGCAGAAGGAAATGCACTCACGTGTGCACACACACACTTAAAAATGTTTTAAAAATGTTATATTTGACTTCCTGGCTAGTTTGAAAATTCTCTTCAAAAATAGCTCTCATGATTGCAGGCTGGCAGAGCTGTTCCTGCCTGGATTTAAATGGGAAAACTCAATTAGAGTTTGAATCTGTTGCACTGAAATGGAATTGTCTCTTGCAGGCAGAGCTCAGTCACGGACACAGGAGCATGAATGAGAGGAGAGGGAGAGGAGGAGGTTGTGTCATTGTGGAGGGCAGGTTGTGGGGGCTCTGAGCTAGAATGTTCTACTTCCTGTCACTCTGGAAAGGAAATGTCATTGCACTTCTCCAAGCACATTCAAAGAAAAGTAGCTTCAATCATGCTTTTTCCTGGAAGGGACCCTGCTGGGTCTGGGGGTGGCAGGGACTGGGCACAGGCACAGAGCAGTGACTTGTTCTATGAAGATGACCTCCCTTTACCTCTCTGGTACTGAACAAATATCACCCCTCCCAAGGCTTTTTCCATCAAGTTTAAAGATGTTGGTATTTCTGTAGTCTAGAAATATTTGTGAGGATCTTGGGAAGGCTGGAACTTGGGCACAGGAGAAATGGATTTTTGGTGGCAGGTTTACCACAGGGTCCCCCTCTCCCTCCCTCCTTGTCTCTCCCCATGTTCCACTGCAGTCCTTTCCTTGTGGTTTCCACAGCAGGCTCTCAAGCTGTGAGGGGAGATCCTTCAATACTGCCTCTGCTCCTGAGAGCCCTGAGCTGGCCTCAACATTTTTCTCATCGTTGTGCATTGATATCTACATCGAGAAATGACCTGTTCCTCCCTGCCTCTCTTATCTGGGATCTCAGCCTGAGCCTTAGCTCCCACTTGCTCTCTAAGTCATCTGTGTTAAACTGCTCCTCATAAATAGCAGCTTCCAGCATGACTTCTTTTATCTGTGGCTTCTATTTGTGTGCAAGAGGGAGAAAACAGGTTTGTTTCCATCAGAGCAGCTGGCTCCTCTGATCTGCCACCTGGAGACTTGGCTGACAGGAAATGTGTCTGCAGGCAGGGCAGACCTGTGCTTCTCTGCTGTCACCCTGCTGGCAGGGTAAACTTACCCCTTTCCTCACTCCTTTGGGGCCTGCTGAATACTGTTAGCAGATGTTATGGGTTGGGAAGAAGATACACAACTCCTAGCACTGCAGCAGGCTCCAGGGATCCTCTTGTAAAACCTTCAATGAGGAGATTCAAGTGTGTTCATTGGAGCAGACCAGGAAAAAGGTTTGTATATGCGTGGGAGGGGATGGTGGGCAGGCAGGGCTCAGTCCAGCTCTGATTCCCTGCCCTCCTTTGACTCTGCCATTTGGTGCTACAGACACCCAGCTGGAGATGCCCATGTGGGCTGTACTGCCCCTTGTCTGGGGAAGAAGGATGACATTAATTAAATGCTTTGTTGTTTTCATCCTTAGAGAACCTGTTGCAGAAGAGGTGTTTATGTCTTCCTTTGGGCATGTTGTGCAGGTGAGACCAGATGGAGATGGAGTTTTGACAGCCACACACTCAGAGGAGCCCCAGGTAAGGGTCAGTACTCTGCACTCTTGTGGTTACAGCCTGTCTATCCTTTGAACAAATGCTGGTTAATGCTGTAAGATTCCTTAGTGCAGGCTCCTGCTGCCCTTGCCTCTATGGGTGGATGCCCCTGCATGGTCTAAGCTGAGGTGGTGTTACATGTGCTCAAGTTTGTCTTGATATGGGGCAGCCCAGGGATGATTTAATTGATTTAATAAACTGTGACAGTTACTGTAATAGCACTCTCCACACTCTGAAGAGATTGTGGACTTTGGGTTTCTACCTGGTTTAATTTTGGGTTTTTTTTGTTTTTTTTTTTTTCCATCAATAGGTTGAGATTTTCTTTGGTGTCAGTTTCAAAAGAGTAAAAGAGAAAATTTGAAAAAATGCCATCTATGACTTCTGTTGGCTGGAAAAAGCAAGAGCAGTTAACAGGGCAAGAGCCATGGCTCTGTGGTCCAGGGGAGTTTTCTGAGGAGGGCATTTGCAGCTGTCTGTGGCACTTTTGCAGGAACAGGGAGGAACCCATCTGTGCCATAGCTGTGATGGGGCCAGCAGCTCCCTGATGTTCCTGGGGCTGAGTGGGGCCCTCAGCAAATGTCAGAGCTTGTCAGTGAGAAGGGGAGGTTTTTCTCACTGTAACAAACCCCACAGATTGAGAAGCAGAGAAATTTTCCAGAAAGTTCTCCTGAGAAAAACCAGCTGAGCTGTGGTGGCAAAATGGTAAAAATGAAAAACCAAATCATAGCTCAGATTGCAGCAAAAGTGGTGACTGCAGGTGCAGGGAGAAAACTGGAAAGGATGGAGATAGGGATGAGATGGGAACAGCATCAGGCCCAAGAGGGATCTGTTCTGGTCACGCACTGCAGACACCATCCACGTGGCCAGCTCTGCCTGCAGCAGAAGCCTTAATGATCTCAGAAGAGAAAGAGCTGAAATGAAACCAAGAGCTTTGCCTGCTCTGAGCTTCTGTAGAAAAGATTGAAGCGGGGGACCGGCACTTCCAGCAAGGGCTGCGTGCAGCGCCCATCGCCTCACGGGCCGCTCCCGGCCCTGCTGCCGCTCCCTCACAGAGCTGTGCACACACGGCCCGGTGCCGCGGCCCGGCCGGGCGAGGAGCTGCCCCCGAGGGCAGGGGAGGGAGCTGTCCTGCTCACCCTGCAGCCCTGGGAAAGGGGTGCCAGCAGCCAGAGGCTCAGGAGGACCAGGTGAGGAGCAGCCCATCGAGGAGAGTCAAGTGGTGGGGCCGGCTCTGTGCAGCCACAGAGCCCTCTTGTGTTGTCTGCTGGGTTGCAGACCAGCCAGAAGAGCAGCCGGTTCCTTTCACGAGACCAAGCAAGGTAAAAATTGGCGTCTAAGGTTTATTTTTCCGTTTAGAAGTTTTCAGCTTGTGGGAGTTTCAGCTTGTGGAAGGCAAGAATGGGAGGAGAGAAATGATGCCCTGTCGGTAGGAAAAGGAGATGTATTCTGTACAGCTTCTAAATAGCCATACACCAGGAGGAAGAATTTACTCTGGAGCTGTTCCATGTGCTAATTATTTCTAATTGATTGATTTTTAAGACAATATTATGGCTTATTGCAGAAACCCAAGCTCCAAGAAGTTATTATTTCAGCTGAAAGAAATCTGTAAAAAATGTTTCTCTAACAAAAAAAAAAACCCAAAAAACCCCAACAAAAACAACAACAACAAAAAAAAACCCCACATACCTGGTAATTTTTTTTTAATGTGGAAAATAGGGTTTTTTTTTTCTTTAAAGTAAAACCTGAAAAAAAGTGAACCGTCAAATCTCTGAAACTTAAATTTCAGGCAACCTTCCTTTGGACCCATCTCCCTTCAGTGCTGTCTCCCTTTGAGGGAAGCCATCCCAGAAATCACAAGCAGATTAAACATACCTTTTGCCTTGTAATGGCACAGGTATGCTTGCCTCTCTAATGGTTTCAGAAAGTATAAAGCCAGAAAGGACTACTAGATCGTTTTAATTTGCCGACTGATAGTTTTGTGTAATGTCTGCTATTAACTAGAAATTAATCACCAGCAGGCACCACCAGCAAGGAAAAATGATATCATCAAAGGTAAGAATGTTTTAAAACTACTGTGTAAGGAAGAAAAAAGGGGTGGAAAGTGATTGTGAAAACATTTTATCATGCTGCAGAAAGTTGTCTGTTGGCACTAAACTACAGTGAATCTGAACAGGGAGAAAATGATTTCCTGCATTCAGATCCAATGGTCTCCAATCCCTTGATAATACAAACAAGGACTGTGCAACTCAATCAACCAAATACAGTGCAAGGGAGGTCTTGTTTTCAATTACATTCACAAATGGCAAGCAGAGCTGTGTGTCAGAATCTGTTCTTTTCTTATTTACAATCAGTCAAATAGACTCTTTTTGTATATGTCTGAAATGTTCATGAGTTTATAAACAGGTGGTGAGAGTTCAGGAAGCTGATGTGTATTTTGGAATTTCCTACCAACTGAAATAGTTTTTCTAATAATTCAAGATGCTGTCACATTAAATTAAATTATCACAATGATGATGCTCTGTATGTGTCAGCTTCTGTTTCAATAATGTATCCTGCATTTTGGCTGCCTAGGATTAATTTTTGGATAAAAAGTTATTTTTCTTTATATTGCTGCCAGCATGAATTAAAATTAAATTCAGTGCTGGCAACAGAAATGTAAGAATGAGGATCTGTTTTAGTGCTCCCTTTAGTTTACATTGATTAGCTTACATTAATTTTCACCTGAGTTGTTGTATTATCACCTTACCAAAATATTTGGATTGTTTTTTTTAAAATATTTTGTCTTCAAAATTTAATTAAGTTAGTTTATGAAAATATTTTTACTCATTGCAGATTTGGGAAATACTGCATTATTTCAAAACAAAGCTCCTGGGTCTCTTTTTTCATGTCCTCAGAAAAATATGCTCATACAAGACTAAGAAGTACACAGCTGTGAAAAAGAATCGAAAGAGCTGAGTATTACAGCATGACTTTTTGTTGTTGTGTCAAGACAAATGAGGTGCAGCCCAGAGTGTTCTGCTATAGCTTTAGTAATTTTTTTAGTGGGATCCTTGACCTGGCCCATGATAAAGAAAGTTATTATGTCATTTGTTTACTGATTCCTTTTCTCATTGTCTTCTTGCAAAGCCACCTCTTCTCCTATCAACTCTAATTGAATTGACTGCCTGTATTAGGTTCTTAGATTCACCATATGCTCTCTGTCTAATAATATTTATTTCAGATTAATGGCAGCAACACAAAGAGCAAGGGTATGCAAAGCCCATAGGAGAGGTCACAAAGCATCTTGTGCCACATGGTGTTGTAGCTGTCCTGAAAGCTACCAGGTGGGTGCTGCAGAAACTTAGATTCTTCTTTTGAATTTGAGGAAAATTTAAGGAACTGCTATGAGATGATCCTTAAAGGCTTACAGTCCAGAGAGAGAAAGAAGTGTCATTTAAACAGTCAGGGAATGAAGCTGTAGTGCTGTGATTCTCAGCTCTAAGAAAGTCTGCAAAAAGGCCAGAATTTCAAGATTTATATTTGAAACATGAAGTTTTCTTCCCTATTCCCATTCATCTCTTGGTATTTGGTATGTTTTCATGGATTACTTAAAAAAAAAATGGGTCTTATTTACAAACGATCTGTGTCTGTCTCATGTTACCCTTGCCAGAAGGTGTCTCACTTGCATGATCATTGCAAGGACCATTGCAAGGTTCATTTACACTCCATGAGCTGTCTTTAAGTGCACTACATATTGCTAGCTTGGTTTAAAGATGATGTATTGCAGACAGCCAGCAAGATAATTAAGAGAATATATTAAGCTAACCTGGATGCTGTGAGTGCAAGGCTTGAATAAGCACAGCACATCTCACAAATTCTATTTAGCAGCAGAAATATTTTTTCCAGTGTAGATTGTGTTGAAAAGAGACAAATCCAATGAGAAGGCGAAAAGAGAGAAGAAAGATGAAAGAAAAAACTGATGAGTGAAGAGAGAGGAAATATTCAGGTGCTGCAGGGATTGGAAGAGCCGAAGGAGATGGGAGAAGATGGGAGTTTGTGTATGAGGGAGGAATGGAGCAGTGGGGTAATGCAGTCTGGATGGGAAAGGAGATGGCAGTGAAAGGAGGGGATCTGGAGGGGATCTCTGATTAGGGAAAAAGCTGTAACCAAGAAAGGGGACCAAGTGTCCCAGGCCAGCAGCTCTGCCAATTGTCACATCCCTGTGTTGCAGTGATCCCTTATACAGCGGGATCCCATCCACGAGAGATGTTCTCACTGGGCTGAGTCCCACCCTGGCAGGAGGCTCTGTAGCTCCAATTGCAGAGTAATTAGCTCACTTGAGAACAGGAGATGTGATGGAATAAGGGGGAGAGAGGGAAGCATAGCTAAGAAGTTACTTTAATGAATTTGGCTTTCCTCTTTGAAAGTTTGAAGACATGAAAGATGTTTTCAAGGAAGCAGGAAAGCTTACTTAAGGATTGGATTATTCAGAGCTTAAAAAGTGTTGATTGCAAATTTCTCTGTGTATGCTTTAGGTGGTTAAGTGTAAAGAGCTCTTAATAACTAAGCTAATAAACTCCTCAGTGTTCCACCTTGATATTTTTATTTATGTCTTCAGAAATATGCTAACATGCTGCATAAATAGCAAGGCATATTTCCTCTTGGAGCACATGACAAACACACTCAAAATTTCTTCAGCATAGCAAGAAATGAGGATTTCTTTTTCATTTATTTTATTGTCCTTTGGTATTTTCTGTGTTTCCTGTTGTCCTCAAGTAAACAAAAACTTCACCAATGTGATCTTTTTGGCATATCTAGCAGATTTCTGTTTGCATCCAAGTGACGCATGAAACCTCACAATGCTGATGTGGGGTGAAGGGAGGCCCTTACAATGTGGATTAATTTATAATGCTTTAAGATTTAGGATTTATTAAGGTAACCCTAGTAAGTTAAGTTGATTCCTTAATTCCAAATGAAAGCTCTTGCCATCTTCTGTTTAAAAAGTAATGCATAGACTGACTTGAAAATTAGATATTTTCCTGAGAAGTGAGAGTTTACAGTGACTTCCCTTTGGTGGGCAGAAAGATCTCTTGAAAAAGCTGTAACCCAGCTACTCTTAATGCCTTTCCCCTGGGGTAGGCAGGGCATATTTGGGCTCTACTTATTGATCTGTGTTATGAAACAATAACAGCAGCATTCATGAGCCTTGAAAGCCATAAGCAAAGATAATATGCACACTTCACTTAATTCAATAAGTTTGGTGGGGGGTGTAATATGCCTCTTGGAGCGTAGCTTGAGGAAATCATCTTGGTTTACACTGCTTGAGGAGGCTCTGATAATGTATTTAATAACAAGAACAATAAAAATAAGGCTACCTGGGTTATGTGGTGTTGCAAAACCTCTGCTCTCGGCTGTCATTCACACAAGCCTTGGCTGGCCCCAGACCTCCTCTGTGCCTATGCCTGTGGGAAGAGAGGGAACAAGTGCACCCTGCCTTTCTCCTTTGTGTTGAGACGGCAAAATAATTCAGGCACAAACTGCCTCTGTCTGGCTCGGCACAGCACCTGCTAAAGTAAGGTCTCATTTTAGCTGGGGCTCTCAAACATTACAGTAGTACAAATAATTTCATGTAATGATTTCATTTTGTTTCCAGTCCCTGGCTTTACCCAGAGACTCACAGTGGAACCATTAGGCATGTCTGGAGTTGTTATAAACCTCTTTTCCCAAAAGTGATTTATCTGACTGAAGGTAATACAGTGTAATTATATGTTAGCCTCTGATTGTTCTTCTAGGAAAGCTTGGCTCCTGTCCTTCGGAAAACCATCTCAAGAATGAAGTCAGGAGCTGCTCTAAACTCAGCCACTGTCCCTTTAGGATGGGCTGGGGATGTACAAAGCAAAAGCCTTCTGCCTTGATGTATACATTGTGTAGGCTGTAAGAAGCATCTCTAGCACAGAGCAGGGCAGAGGAATGGGATCCAGTGGCTGTACAGGGAATAACAACTCTGAACTACTCTGTGAATGAAGCAATAGAGACCAGCTTTGCCTTGATGGAGGGTACACGTGGGCCTGCAGGAATAATTTGAAAGGATTGGACTTTGAAAAATACTCTGCAGCCAAGCTAAGAAAGCCTTCATTGGGCTGACCTGATGTGTTGAAATGTCTTTCATAGCTCAGTTCTGAAAGCCTTCCTGT